ACAACAGCACAAGCCGATTCCTTGTGTATGTGTGTGCATGCATGTGTGTGTAGACATAGATACAAAGCTAGAGCAAGAGCCAAAGCTAGAGCTAGAGATCAAGATCCTACAGTTTCTGCTTCTCTGGTTGAACTAATATAACACACTAAATACCTACCAAAATAAGACTAGATAAATAATGATTTTTTCATTACAATGAAATACTGTATAGCCACTGAAAATGATGATGTGTAATTCCATTAGACAAGGAAACACATCTCAAGTTATACAACAAAATAGGTTATAAAAAAGTATGTACGTTTTATATTATGTGTTGTTGTGTTTGTTTGTTTTTTTAATTTAGGGGCAGAGAACAAGATAAGCTCTGCTCACCAAAGTTTTAATGATGATGGTGAAACTTTAAAGTCTTAATCTGGGTGTTATGATTTTAGGTGATTGTTATTTTATTCTTCAGATTCTTTTGGATTACTTCATTGTCTACAATGGCCATGTATCATAATTACTATCAGAAAATAAGAGAAAAAGAACCAGTTCTTATTTGACAGGAAAAAATGTAAGAGAGACTTACAGGTTAAAATGTGCCCAGTCTTAAAGACAAACAAGAGTTATCCAAGCAAAGCGGACATTTCAGGCGGAGGACAGTATGTGCCAAAGATGAACTCTACAAATAGTTTAGAAAGGTGAGAATTTAAGAGTGACAAGAGATGAGGCTGAAGAGATGGACTAACTTATGGCAGGTCTTATATGCCATATGACAGTTCCGAACTAATGAAGAGAGGAATCACATTTGCATTTTAGGAAAATAACAATAAAATAACATAAACAAAACCCCACTGAAGCTTGTAGTGTGGAGACTGTATTAGAAGGAGGACAGACTAGGGTGCCTGGGTGGCTCAGTTGGTTAAGCGACTGCCTTCGGCTCAGGTCATGATCCTGGAGTCCCGGGATCGAGTCCCGCATCGGGCTCCCTGCTCGGCAGGGAGTCTGCTTCTCCCTCTGACCCTCCTCCCTCTCATGCTCAAACTGTCTCTCATTCTCTCTGTCTCAAATAAATAAATAAAATCTTAAAAAAAAAAAAAAAAAAAAAAAAAGAATATACTTTAAAAAAAAAAAAAAAAAAAAAGAAGGAGGACAGACTAGAAACATGGAAACCAATTCAGACACTACTACAGTAATCCAAGTGAGAAAGGACAAAGTCCTGAACTAAGGTAACAGTGGTGGAGATAAAGAGAGTAACACTAAGGTACAATTGTAAGGAATAAGAACTGCAGGATTTTGGTGGAGAATACACTGGTAGTAAAGAGACAAAAACGGTTCACTTAAGTTGGGGAGTTCAGAGAAGTCTTCCAAAAAGATGCCTTAAGAATAAGGCTCTCAAGAATATCACAGATAGGGCGCCTGGGTGGCTCAGTTGGTCAAGCGACTGCCTTCGGCTCAGGTCACGATCCCAGAGTCCTGGGATTGAGTCCCACATCGGGCTCCCGGCTCAGCGGGGAGCCTGCTTCTCCCTCTGACCCTCTCCCCTCTCATGCTGTTTCTCTCTCTCTCTCTCTCAAATAAATAAATAAAATCTTTAAAAAAAAAAGATTATCACAGATAGATGTAAGACGACTTTAAATGTTTTTTCTTTAAATATTTTATTTATTTATTTGACAGAGAGAGACACAGCAAGAGAGGGAACAAAAGGAGGGGGAGTGAGAGAGAGAGAAGCAGGCTTCCCACTGAGCAGGGAGCCCAATGCAGGACTAGATCCCAGGACCCAGGGATCATGACCTGAGCCGAGGGCAGACACTGACTGAGCCACCCAGGCGCCCCGCCTTTAAATGTTTCTAAAAGAAGTATCAGTGTGTTGGCTCACACCCACTGAAAGGAAGAATAATAAGCAAACACTATAAATGAGAGCACTCAACTACAAAAACCGATTCACAATTATTGTATTTATAATAGGAGTACATAGATATGTATCTCTAATCTTTTGAGGTTGACCTCTTCCAAGAAAATCAAATTATTGCCATAAATAAAATACTCTGCATAGCTGCTTGATCTGAGTCACACTTACAAGTCACTTTTAAGTCAAACACAATGTTTCATATAAATTGTTATTTTAGCCACCCCTTATTTCACTGCTTGCCCAAATACAATCTTTTAAAATTTTAAATTATAAGTAAAATATTCTCACTATAACAATTCGAACAATTCAGAAATGTAATTCCTCTACTACCCTCCATCAACTCCCTACCCTTATTACTCTGAAATTACTAGTTAAAATGAGCTGAATATTCTGTTTTTCTTTGCTTAAATAAACATATACAAGTTTACATAGGGTTTATTTAACAACAATGGGTTCATACAGTATATATATATCATCCTATAACTTATTTTTACTTAAGATAATCATAAATTTCAAGCCAATATGTTTAACAGGTGTATCTCTTCATTTCTATTATTTGTAATAATGTGGGCATACCATAATTTGACATATATTTAGGACATTTCTGGTTTCTTGCTATTAAAATTAATGCTATAATGAATATTGCTATATATAGTTTTAAATAATGGTACTCCTATTTCTATCAGATAAAAATTCCCTGAGAAGTTTCTGGGTCAAAGGATGGCATTTTAATCAATATTGCTATATTAAGTTCTCAAAAAGTACATTTACAGACTCACCAACAGTTTGAGGGTAGATTTTCCCCCATACTCTTGTCAGTTCTAGAAATTATCATATTCATTTTTGCACATCTAACTAAATGGAAAACTTTATCTACTTTTAGTGACAGCATCTTTTCATATGTTCATTGTCCATTTGCATTTCTCCATTTGTGAACTGCCTGTTCCTATCCTTTACTCTTGATCCTGTTGTCTTTTTCATTAATTTTTATAGAAACTTATGTGTTTTATCATATAAAGCTTTTTAAATTTTTCTGCAATCAAATCTGCCAATTTTTTCTCCTAGGGATTTTGGATTCTGTATCTTGCTTAGGCCTCCTCTGCTACGCAAGATTACTGAAACTATCTCCTATATTTTCTCCTAATTATTTTATTACAATTTGGTTTTTGTCCCTATTTTACATTTAGATCTTCAATTCATTTGGAATTTATTCTTGTGGTGTTATGACTTGGAGTTGTCCCAATACCATTTATTGAATTATTCATCTTTAAATGCCTCCTTCTAGAGTAATAGATTACAAATAGCCAAGATGGCACACAAATGAAATTCCTAGGAATTCTTAAATTTCACTAACTGAAACAAAAGTCCAAACTTATCAAAAGTTTATCAAAAGACATTTATGATTTTTTCTTTAGAAGAAATCACACATTGGGACATATGGGTAGAGTATACCAGAATCAGCATACAATGTGAAATGGTTGATTTTTTTCACATAGCAGAAATGGAAATTAAATCAATGATCTCACTTTTAACATAAACAGTAAAAATAGAAATAATCATTGTTTGAAATCTCAAGATTATTCATTGATTCAGGTCACAAATTTTTTTTTCTATTTATTTATTTTTTTGATGTAGTGTTCCATGACTGTTTGTGTATTAACACCCAGTGCTCCATTCAGTACGTGCCCTCTTTAATACCCATCACCAGGCTAACCGATCCCCCCACCCCCTCCCCTCTAGAACCTTCAGTTTGTTTCTCAGAGTCCATACTCTCTCATGGTTCGTCTCCCCCTCCGATTTCCCCCCCTTCATTCTTCCCTTTCTAACTTCTTTTTTTTTTTTTTTTAAACATATAATGTATTATTTGTTTCAGAGGTACAGGTCTGTGATTCAACAGTCTTACACAATTCACAGCGCTCACCATAGCACATACCCTCCCCAATGTCTATCACCCAGCCACCCCACGATTCAGGTCACAAATTTTTATTGAGCACCAACTAATAGGTGTTCTGGATACAATGGGGGCCAAAACAAGTAGATCCTTACTTTCATGAAGCTTGTAATCTAGTGAGAGCTTCTCTCTCTTCCAGAAAACAATGTATTTAAGTGAAAAAGAAAAAAAGAAATAGATGTTCACACAAATGCAATGCAATGAAAAACATTTTGGCAAATTTTATGACACATTCAGTACTTTCATTTCCAAAATACTACTTTATTTCAAATGTACCCATTTATCCTGGTAATTGTCCATCAAATCAAAGGTGTTTCTAAAAAGTATATGTAGATTGAAAGACATTTCGGGGAATCCTAGAGATCTAGCAAACGGTAATACTGTGTTGCTTGGAGAGGAAGCAAGAACTTCGGTGGCCCTTAAATGGCATCAGGTAACAAGGGCAACTCATTAGTGACAATCACCCAAAACTTCAGATCCCACGACCGAGGCTACCCCCACTCTCAGACTAAATCCTTTTAAATACCCGGCCCTTGTGGCCACGCCCCCCATGCCAACCCACGGCCTCCTCCACCCACCCCAGCCCCTCCGCACCCAACCGGAGCTGCACAAAGTAAGCCCTCGAGAAGGAAGACGTTATTACTGCCCCTGCGGTGTGAGCTTGGCTAAGTGTCTCCCCCTCAGTTTTCTCATCCGGGAGATGAGGCTGGTACTCCGTGCCCGACTCTATCCCCAGGCCTGGGTTCAGCCCCTAATGCCACAAAAGGCAAAGCTGCAGCCCTAAACCCCACGCTGCTCCCCGCGACTGCCCCGCGCCGCCCCCGCCTCCACCCGCAGCCCGAAGCCACGCGTCCTACCTGCGATTTGCGAGACGAAGGCTTCCGCCACTAGAGACATGGCTGCTGGGCGGCCCCGCGCCTGCGGTTTCTGCTCCTTACGGCCCTCGGCGTCCTCTTCTGAAACCCCAGCGTCTCCTGCTGCTACCAGGCGTGGTCCCGGCTGAGGCTCGGACTCGCACAGCCCACCCGGATGCCGGTGGAAGCGGCAGGCCCCCAAGGTTACCGCCTGGCCTGGCCAGGAACTTCCGGCGTAGCTGACAGTGGCGGGAGAGCGCTTCCGCCGGCGCCCCCGCCGCGCTCCTCCCCTGGCGCGTGGGTTCCCGAGTCCTAATCTCCTCGCGGCAGCCCCGCGGCTGGGGGGCGGGGTGCCTGGTTCCCGACCGCTCTAGGCTCCAGCCTGGGGGCGGAAAGAGGGATCCTGGAGGTTTTCAGTATCCTTTCTGTAAGCGAGAATTTTCTAAGCAAGTTTTTTTTTTTTTTCCTTTTTAAGAATTATTTATTTGAGAGCAGAGCCCGAGCGGGGGGAGGGCAGACTCCCTGCTGCCGGGCCACCGCCGGGCGCGGAGCTGGATCTCACAACGCTGAGATCAGGACCTCAGTGGGAGCCACCCAGGCACCCCAGCAAGTAATGTTTTTAAGCGCACCATACCAGTTCCTTTTAAAAATGTATACACTATTTCATGTCATCTCAACAACCAAAAAGTCAGTATTGTTATCGCCATTTTATGGATAAGGAAACAGGCTTAGAGAGTTTAAACTGCCTGCTCAGGGAGGATGATGAAGCCCAGATTCAAATCCACGTTGAATTTTCTGTTTCACTATACTGCTAGATTGATTAGTCCATGGACAGACATTATAGTGTTTATTCCTTTATTCAAACGTGCTTGCCAGAGAGGAGGCATGAGCAGCTCCTAAGCCGAGAGATAGTTTGCCCTTCAATTCTGGACACCCAAAAGAAGCTTATCTTGCAGAACAAGGTAAGTTTCACATACTTCTCCCTTTTGGGGGGTGAGAGGGGCAGGAAAAGGAGGAGACATTAAATCCATAAGTGGCTTTTTATACAGTTTATATACAAGCATACAATTAAGGAAACATCAGGATATGTTACAAATCTAGAGGCATAAAATATTACAGGTGAGGGCGCCTGGGTGGCTCAGTCGTTAAGAGTCCGCCTCCGGCTCAGGTCATGATCCCAGAGTCCTGGGATCCAGTCCCACATCGGGCTCCCTGCTCTGCGGGAAGCCCGCTTCTCCCTCTCCCACTCCCCCTGCTTGTGTTCCTGCTCTCGCTATGTCTCTCTCTGTCAAAAAAATTTAAAAAATCTTAAAAAAAAAAAAAATATATATATATATATATATATATATATTACAGGTGAAACTGACTTCAGAGATCATCTGGTAAGCCAAGGCCCCCTTTCACTGATGAGAAATTTGTAACAGATTACCACAAACTAAATGGCTTAAAACAACAGAAATTTATTCTCTCCCAATTTTAGAGGCTGGACGTCCAAAGTCAGGGTGTCCACAGGGCCATGCTTTCTCTCAATACTCTAGAAAAATCTTTCCCTGACTCTTTGTAGCTTCTGGAGGTTGCCAGCAATCTTTGGCCTTCCTTGGTTTATAGACACATCAACTCCAATCTCTGGCTTCATCATCACATGGCAGAGTATATTTGTATCCAAATTTCCCTCTTCTTATAAGGACACCAGTCATTGGATTAGTTTACACTAATCCAGTATGACCTCATCTTAACTTGATTTCATCTGCAAAGACTATTTCTAAATAAGCTCACATTCACAGGTACTAGAGATTAGAAACTTGAACATACCTTTTTTTGGGGGGGGGGGATAAAATTCTACCCACTACACTAAATAATAAATTTTTTAAGAATAAATCATCAGGGGCGCCTGGGTGACTCAGTCGTTGAACGTCTGCCTTCAGCCCGGGTCATGATCCCAAGGTCCTGGGATCAAGCCCCACATCGGGCTCCCTGCTCGGCGGGAAGCCTGCTTCTCCCTCTCCCACTCCCCCTGCTTGTGTTCCCTCTCTGTCTGTGTCTCTCTCTGTCAAATAAATAAATAAAATCTTTAAAATAAATAAATAAATAAATCATCAATATTTACATCACCCTTTGCAACTAGGAAATTTGTTAAACTAAATTCAAATTTACCCAAAAAAGTACACGAACATAAATACAGCAGTGTTTTGGTTTTTTCGTTTGTTTGTTTTGTTTTTTAAAGATTTTATTTATTTGACAGAGACACAGTGAGAGAGGGAACACAGCAGGGGGAGTGGGAGAGGGAGAATCAGGCCTCCCACGGAGCGGGGAGCCCGATGCAGGCAATCCCAGGACCCTGAGATCCCGACCCGAGCCAAAGGCAGACGCCCAATGACCGAGCCACCCAGGCGCCCCTAATACAGCAACGTTTTAAGAAACAGTATCTTCTCGGGTGCCTGGGTGGCTCAGTTGGTTAAGTGACTGCCTTCGGCTCAGGTCATGATCCTGGAGTCCCTGGATAGAGTCCCGCATCAGGCTCCCTGCTCGGCAGGGTGCCTGCTTCTCCCTCTGACCCTCCCTCCTCTCATGTGCTCTCTCTCTCTCATTCTCTCTGTCTCAAATAAATAAATAAAATCTTTAAAAAAAAAAAAAAAAGAAACAGTATCTTCTCACTGGCTGAGATTCAGAGTTGACAGGGGTTGAAATAATAGGTTTTTCTTGTTTGTGCTGAGGGAGATAACACTGATAATAAAGAATATGCTGTGCCCAGTTTCCTCCTCCTTATCCCATGAGTGATATTGACCAAGAGAAATGAACTGTTCCAGGATATGGAGAGTCAATTGAAAGAAAAGCTTTCAATTCCTGTCTGTTTCTCTGCACAGTGAACTAGTATAACTTGTAAAAGTGAAGATCTGTCACCTATTCAAGTTCCGTTACCAAGTTTGGTGTGTCACTTTTTAAAAGCTGGAATAAAATTTTTGACTACTTTTTGACACTTGCGGATATTTTTACAGATTTCTCCACATCGTAGAGATTGTGTGGGAACGTGAACCAAAGCCCTTAGGATTGGACCAGGAAATCCAAAATCCAACAAGTCCAAAGGGCAAAGGTGAGCCCCAAAGTGGAAGGAGAATGGCAAGATCCAGGGACTTGGCATACATGCAAGAGAAACAGAGCAAGATGAGAGGCAAAGGAGAATGTGCCCTCAAAATTTCAGTTAGGTGTCTATGGCTTGATGCATATCACATCGACGAACTGGGCTGGCTCAAAGGTACTGGGTTGGGACTGAAACCAAACCTGTTCTAGCAAGCTTTTGAGAAAGAAACAGGGATCTGCTAGGGGCACTGTCTATACTCAACCCTTTCATCATTGTAGCTGGGGAAACAGACTCATCAGCACCATATGGATTCACTTTTTCTCCCTGACTGATGGTTCCTTTGCTTCCCACACAGGCTAATTTAGACTGGAAAGAATCTATAATGTGGGAGGTCTTTATTACTAAAAATTAGATCCAATAAAATGCAGATGTCCTGACGGTATCCACAAACAAGCTGTCTTTGAATAAATAACCAACTGGAGTAAATGTATTTATGCATCTATATTAGAACAACTGGCAGATTTAAAACTGAAGATCTGTTTAAGATCACAATTAAGGAAAATACAAGAAAACAAGCCACTGGAATTTTTAAGGATGAGGTTATAAAACAAAAGTGCTAGTGAATCCATATGTTACTAAAAGGATAATCACACAATTATTTAAAATAAAACATTTATGCATGATATGAACATTGCCCTAACAAAATCACTTTTCTTGCAAAACTGTTCTATCATGAAAATATTTTCATGTCTCTAATCTAGATTTTATATTACTATATTAAATAGGAAATACACAGCTATCATGATGAATATATACTTTATTAACATTAAAATACTAAGGCATTTTATCTGCATTTCATTTTTCTCTGACAGAATGTTAATTTTTTTTTTTTTTTAAGATTTCATTTATTTGACAGAGAGAGAGAGAGAGAGAAGAGCAGGGGGAGAGGGAGAAACAGGCTCTCCACAGAGCAGAGAGCCCAGTGCAGGACTCGACCCCAGGACCCTGAGATCATGACCTGAGCCGAAAGCAGACGCCCAACCAACTGAGCCACCAAGGAGCCCCCAGAATGTTAATATTTTAAATGTAAATATTTTCTTTTTTGAAAAATGCCTGCAAGATAAAATTTAGGCTGAGTTGGGCGCCTGGGTGGCTCAGTTGGTTGAGCGACTGCCTTCAGCTCAGGTCATGATCCTGGAGTCCCTGGATGGAGTCCCGCATCAGGCTTCCTGCTCGGCAGGGAGTCTGCTTCTCCCTCTGACCCTCCCCCCTCTCATGTGCTCTCTCTCATTCTCTCTCTCTCAAATAAATAAATAAAATCTTAAAAAAAAAAAATTAGGCTGAGCTTCCTTCAAAATTAAACTATTTACTTGACAATGATAAAATAAATTCAGACCTTTTTATCAACTTAGTCCCACCCCCATCAACAGAATTAATTACAGATAATTCAATCAATCCAAATAAAGTGTTAATACAATTAAAAACACTAAGGTAACCATGTTATGCCTCAGAGCTTTTTTGTTCATCTGTTAACAGTTTTTACTTCTTTAAAAATAATGGAATTGTAGACAACTACAAGCAATCTAATATAGGGGTTTGCAAAGATATTTTTTAAAGGGTACAGAAATGTGGCAATCATTTGTCCTTACATCTCTCAACTCCACTTTCGTCCATTTTGTTTAATTCCTAAGAAATCATGACCGACCCAGAACTAAGTTTTTACCATTTTCTCACTTTCTGATCCCACCCTCTTGTATTTTAGGCTAGCACACCCTCAAATGAACTGCAGGCATATTGACTACAACACGACACTTTGGGAAACATCTACACTATTGATTATAGTGGGCCTGGATGCTTCAAATATTAACTGGTTTTCAACAGTACTTAAAATGCTAAATTTCCAAAATATTCTGCCAAATTAGGCACTTTTATAGCTTTATGTTATTACTGGGAGTTGAGTCTTTTAACTATATCTAGTGTGGGTGCTTTTCACAGGTGGTTGAAAAATGTCTTATCTACTCTTCTAGGAACTGAATTAGTTAGGACTTTCTTGACTGCAAGTTATAAAGACACAATTAAACCTAGCTAAGCAGGTTTAAGTTTATTGCCTTGTAGTGGTAGAAAATATATACCAGAGTAGTTCACAAAACTGAATGAAGACCTCTAGAACCAGGGTGTCAGCTCTCTCTCCTTATACCTCTCATTTCTGTTCAGCTTTATTCTTTGTCCCTGAAGACACACCTTCTCCTAGCTGGCAGGAAAAGTAGCTGCCTATAGCACCAACTTGACATCTTCTTAGCTTGGCAGCCCCAATTTCCATAAATTAATCTCAGGGAAGAATTATAATTGTTTGGATGTTGTCACCTTTGAATGAAATACTTTGTCCAAGTGAATGGGTTCAGTCATCAAGCCAGCAAGGGAGGTATAGGATCTGTTATGAAGGAAAATGAGAAAAGAGATGCAAGGCAGCCCATATCATAGTACCACAGTCCACAAGAAGAATCGAGAGCGCTATAGCGGGGCTACCACTTGTTTTAAAACCACAAAAGTCATTTAAGCGGTTTAGTATTTTTATTTCCATAAAGGGGCTAATAAAATGTAATGATGCCTTAACTACAGCCCCTGGCGTGGGGGAGGAGGAGAGAAATTCGGATGATCGTGTTAACTAAGAGGAAAAGCTGAGGATGCCTTTACCAGAATTATTATATTTATTTATATAGCTATTTATTATATTACTATATTTATGGGAAAGTAACTACTTTCCCATAAATGTAATGAGCTAACTTAACGCTAAATCACTAGAGCAGTAAACTTACAGTTTTTCAAAAGAAAACAAAAACCCACACACAATTGTCTCATCCCATGTGTATATATTGCCCTTTCACAGCTGGATAACAAGGATATGTACTTTCTGAAGCTATAAATAATATGTGTGAATAAAACAACATGGAAAACATGAATGATGCTATGTTAAGTAAAAAGAGCAGAATTGGAAATGTGCTTTATTGTGAATACAACTACGTAAAAACATGTATATGAAAAGAAACATTTTTCAAATGCTATAAAGCCTTGTTACAATAGGGTGGGATTTTTTTTTTCTTTTTGTTGTTTTTCAAACTCTCTGAAATATTTTTATGCCACTTTTGTCATCTAAAAAAAAAAAAGTGTTTTTATCACCCTGGATAGAACTTCTATAAGGTGACTAATATGGCAAGTGGTCTGATCTGTCTACATCTAGGCCTTGCATAATATAGACCTCATTAGCCCTAATGATACTGCCAAGCATTTATCTTAGACCAGCTTCACGTTCCACAGCAGAGATTCACGTCCATAGTAATAATGAAAGAAGAACACATGCAGATAATAGAACAACATCCAAAATACCTTATTGTTTGCATGTCCTTATGTGAGACTGTGTACAGATAGGCAAGCACATCTCATTGTGTGACTACTATTGCTTAATACTGTATGATGTGTGATGGAAACTGGCAAATTTTGTAGATCAGCTGTAGACACTCTTGCTTTGGATGATAGTTTGGCATTGGTTTTAAACTTTATCTGAGTTATCATATTTTACCTTATAACCCTTAAACAAAGCCAAAGAGTTGTTGGTGGTGATTAAGAAGCCTGAAGCAAGAGTGTCTACAACATGAGTGTCGAAAACACAGTAAAGAGATGGGCCTAAGACAACAGAAATTTGAAAGCTCTCCTGAGCACTTGGAGTCACTTTGAGAGAAATGTTCCCATGCTGGAGAACTAAGTCACCTCTGATATAATGTCAGCATCTAGAAGATTATGCCCAATGACATGGCCACCAATATTTTCCTTTGCCTTCTTTTCAAATTAGAATCTATCTTAGAGAATGAGATTCCTTTCACTCATTCATTCATTCATCAAGTAATTATTGGACCCCATTTTGCAATGCTGGGCCCTCACCTACATCATGGAGATACTATAGTGAGCAAAATTCAGTGTGTGCTCTGAATTACAATCCAGTTGAAAAGATGGTTAGGGCAACAAGCCATTTAGACAAGTGTAACAAGTGCTATGAAAGAGTGTATGGGTGCCTGGGTGACTCAGTTGGTTAAGCATCCGCCTTCAGCTCGGGTCAGGATCTCAGGGTCCTAGGATCGAGTCCTGTGTCGGCTCCATGCTCAGCAGGGAGTCTGCTTCTCCCTCTGCCCCTCCCCCCTGCTTGTGCTCTCTCTCTCTCTCAAATAAATAAATAAAATCTTTAAAAAAAAAAAAAGGAAAGAAAGAAAGAGTTTCTGCACCCATTTAAAGTCATAGACAATGTTACCTAAGAAATGTTTCAAGTTGTCATGTTGCCATAGCTACCACAACTCTTCAGTATAAGTGAAATGCCCTTGCCAGGATACCAAATTTAAATATATGAAAAATAACTTCTCGGGCTGGTGTGAAGTACACCTTCAGTAATCCAAAAGCTTGCCAACTATCTTACACAAAACTTTATTTTGGCACATGTTTAAATTTTACAATCTTTAAGGGGCACAACATCCTTTTTTCATGGTAATTCTTAATTTTTTCCTTTCCAGATAAAATGAAAACATTTCACTATATCATTCTTCAAATTAAATTCAATTTGAAGCAACCATCTTAAGCTGTTGCTCAATTCAAATTTCAGTGTGAAATATTTGGTAACTTGCCAGCTTCCTTTTTTTTTTAAGAGTATCCCAGAAACTCAAATGGAATAGAAACAACTAATATTGGGTAGCAGCACCTCTTGCCAATTACAGCAATGGTTTCCATTTTGTCTCTGGAAAATTTTTTATAAGTGACTGAATATTTCTGTCTTCACTGTTGAACCTAGTCATTCACATGAACCACATGAATTTTATCTAGATCTGTTTAGATTTTTTTGTAATTTTTTAATTTAAATTCAATTAACGAACATATATTATTACTTTCAGAGGTAGGGGTCAGTGATTCATCAGTCTTATATAATACCCAGTGCTCATTACATCACATGCCCTCCTTAATGTCCATCACCCAGTTACCCCATCCCTCCACTCCCCTCTAGCAACCCTCAGTTCCTATGATTAAGAGTCTCTTGTGGTTTGTCTCCCTCTCTGATTTTGTCTTGTCTTATTTTTTCCTCTCTTCCTCTATGATCCTCTGTTTTGTTTCTTTAATTCCACATATGAATGAGATCATATGATAATGGTCTTTCTCTGACTGATTTATTTCGCTTAGCATAATACCCTCTAGTTCCATCCACATCATTGCAAATGGCAAGATTTCTTTTTTTTTTTTTTGATAGCTGAGTAGTATACCATTGTGTGTGTGTGTGTGTGTGTGTGTATTATATATATCTTACATCTTCTTTATCCATTCATCTGTCAGTGGACATCTGGGCTCCTTCCATAGTTTGGCTATTGTGGACATTGCTGCTATAAACATCGGGGTGCACATACCCTTCGGACCCCTACCTCTGTATCTTTGGGGTAAATACCCAGTAGTGCAATTGCTGGATCATAGGGTAGCTCTATTTTCAGCTTTTCGAGGAAACTCCATACTGTTTTCCAGAGTGGATGCACCAGCTTGCA